GGGAAGACGAAGAACACGAAATGGCCTACAGTTGGCTCCGAAACATTCAAAATGTGGCCTGGGAATGGTCTTCTGGGAACACGCAAAACACGAAGTGGCTTACAGTTGGTTCTGGGCATTCAAAATGTGGCCTGGGAGTGGTGTTCTGTTGGCTCCGGGCAGTCAAAATGTGGCCTGGGATGGGGTTCTGGGGAGTCCCGGGATCCCCCGGATTCCCCCGGCATCCGCCCAGACCTTCTTGGGGAGTCAAGATGTTTTCTTTCGACCCCACTAGAAACCTATCAGTCTTCGCTGTTAGGTAAAAACCATGTGTTGCCAATCTTTTCCAAATATTCCAGATTTTCCCAGAAACTACCCAGGTGAAAAACCATGTGTTATCCTGGTTCTCCAAATATTCCAGATCTTCCCAGAGACTACCCAAGTGAAAAGCCATGTGTTTTCCAGATTCTCCAAAGATTCCAGATCTTCCCAGAAACTACCCAGGTGAACAACCATGTGTTATCCATATTTTCCAGATATTCCAGATCTTCCCAGAGATTACCCGGGTGAAGAACAATGTGTTCCCTATCTTTTCCAGATATAAAACAAAACAATGTATTTTCCAGATGTTCTAAATATTCAAAATTTTGCCCAGGGAGTGCGCTGCAAGCTCAGAGTAGTCTCTGGGAATACCTGGAACATCTGGAACACATGGTTTTTCACCTGGGTAGTCTCTGGGAAGATTTGGAATATGTGGACAATCTGGGAACACAGTGTTTTTCACTTGGGTCGTCTCTGGGAAGATCTGGAATACTTGGACAATCTGGAAAACACATGATTTGTCACCTGGGTATTTCCTGGGAAGATTTGGAACATCTGGAAAATCTGGAGAACGCATGGTTTTTCATCCGGGTAGTCTCTGGGAAGATCTGGAATATTTTTGAAGATCAGGAAAAAAATATGGTTTTTGATTTGGGTGGTCCCTGGGAGTATTTGGAAAAGCTGGAAGCACACATTGTGTTTCACTTCGGTAGTCTCTGGAAAAGGTTTGGATGATCTGGAAATTTGGGAAACACAGCATTTTTTCAATACCACCCTCCCCACCGATCCCTTCCCTTTTTTGCTGTCTCTCTCTCTCTCTCTTTCTCTCTCTTTTTTTTTTCTATCTTTCTCTCTCTCTCTTCCACTCTCTCTCTCTCTCTCTTTCTCTCTCTCTCTCTCTCCTCTCCCTCTGTGGTGAGGATTCCTGCTGTGAGAATCCTGCAAAGGATTCCTGATGTGGGGCTTTCCATTCGAATCCCTCGTGGCGCTTCCCAAGGCGTTTCTGTTGCGAGGCCTTCCAATCGAATCCCTTGTGTGGTGTTTTCCAAAAGGATTCCGATTGTAAGGATGTCCGGTATAATCCTTCTGCGGTGCTTCCCAAAGGATTCCGACTGTGAGGCTGTCCACCAAAATCCCTCTGTGGCGTTTTCCAACAGAATCTTGTTGAGAGGTTTTACCCTCGAATCCCTCTGTGGTGCTTTCCAAAGGGTTCCGCTTGCGAGGCTTTCCAATGGAACTCCCTTGTGGTGCCTTCCAAAGGGTTCCGATTGTGAGGCTTTCCCATCGAGTCTCTCTGTGGTAATTTCCAAAAGGATTCCGATTGTAAGGCTTTCCTGTATAATCCCTTTGGGGTGCTTTGCATAGGAATCTGACCAAGAGGTTGTACAATCGAATCCTTCTGTGGTGTTTTCTGGCGGATTCCTGTTGGGAGGCTTTCCGATGCAACTCTTTTTGTGGTGTTTTTTTACAAGGATCTTGTTGTGCGGCTTTCCAATATAATCCCCTTGTGGTGTTTTCCAACGGGTTCCGATTGTGAGGATGTCCGGTCTAGTCCTTCTGCGGTGCTTCCCAAAGGATTCCGATTGTGAGGCTTTCCACCAGAATCCCTCTGTGGTGTTTTCTGGCGGATTCTTGTTGAGAGGCTTTCCGATGCAACTCTTTTGTTGTGTTTTTCAAGGGGTTCTTGTTGTGAGGCTTCCAAGTGGCATTCCCGTGTTGCGTTTTTCAATGGATTCCGATCGTGAGGCTGTCCAATGGAAGCCCTATGTTGAACTTTCCAAAGGATTCCCTTTGTGACGCTTTCCACTGCGCCATGTGTAGCATTTTCCGGAGGGTTCCTGTTGTGAGGTTTTCCCGTCGAATCCCCCTGCGGTGTTTTCCAAAGGTCCTTGTTTGAGGTTTTCCACTGGAATCCCTTTTGGGGTCCTTTCCAAATGAGTCGTGGCGCGAGGCTTTACAATCGAATCCCCCCGTGGTGGTTCCCAACAGATTCCGATTGTGATCTTTTCCCATCGAATCCCTATGTGGCGTTTTCCAACGGAATCCTGTTGTGAGGCTTTCCGACAGAACCCCCTTTGTGGTGCTTTCCGAAGGATTCCTGTTGAGAGGCTTCCCACTCGAATCCCTCTGTGGTGCTTTCCGGGGGGGTCCGCTTGTGAGGCTTTCCAATAATATCCCCCTGCGGTGCTCTTCAAAGGAATCCTGGCGAGAGGCTTTCCAATGGAACTTCTTTGTGTTTTTTGAAGGAT